CGGGGGCTCCGCTCCCCTCGCCCCTGTTCAGGGGCCGGCCCGTCACACGGTCCTACAGTCTAGCCAGCTTTCTATCCATTTTTCAGTCCATTTATCCAATCCATACTCCCTTAACTTGCTGGCAAGAATATTGTGGGAGACCATATCAAAAGCTTTGCTTAAGTCAAGGTATAGCACATGCACTGACTTTCCCATATCCACAGAGCCAGTTACCTCATCATAGAAGCTAATGAGATTGGTATACCATGTCTTGCCCTTTGTGAATCTATGTTGACTATTCCTGATCACTTTCCCCTCTTCCAAATGCCTCAAAATGGATTCCTTGAGGATCCTCTCTATAATTTTTTGGGGAACTGAGGTAAGGCTGACTGGTTTGTAGTTCCCTGGATTGTCTTTCTTCCCTTTTTTGAAGATGGGCACTGCATTTGCCTTTTTCCAATTATCCGGGATCTCTCCCGATCTCCATGAGTTTTCAAAGATAATAGCCAAAGGCTCTGCAAGGACATTTACCAATTCCCTCAGTACCCTCGGATGCATTAAATCCGGACCCATGGATTTGTGTATGTTTAGCTTTTCTAAATAGTTACTACACCTCCTTCCCATACTGAGTTGCTTAATGCAGTAGTTTTGGAGCTGACCTTGTCTGTGAAGACAGAGGTAAAAGAAGCATTGAGTACTTTAGCTTTTCCCACATCATCTGTCACTAAGTTACCTCCCTCATCCAGTAAAGGCTCCACACCCTCTCTGATGACCCTCCAATTGCTAACATGCCTGTAGAAACCTTTCTTGTTACTCTTTACATCCCTTGCTAGCTGCAAATTGTGCTTTCACCTTCCTGATTACTCCCCTGCATTTTCAAGCAATAGATTTATACTCCTCCCTAGACATCTATCCAAGTTTCCACTTCTTGTAAGCTTCCTTTGTGTCTTTAAGGTCGCCCAGGTAAGCAAATCTGGTCACTTACCACATTTCTTCCTGTGCCCTCAGTAAGGCTTTTTTAAAGTCTGTTATAGTCAGTATTTTAGCTAGATAATTTCCTGGAGGTTAGATCCATAAAAGGCTATTAGCCAGGGGATAGAATTGGTGTCCCTGGCCTCTGTTTGTCAGAGGCTGGAGAGGGATAGCAGGAGACAAATTGCTTGATCATTGTCTTCGGTCCACCCTCTCTGGGGCACCTGGTGTTGGCCACTGTCGGCAGACAGGATACTGGGCTAGATGGACCTTTGGTCTGACCCAGTGCGGCCGTTCTT